TATTTATCAGTTTAGAACAGCTTCACCTGCACCAGAGGATCAGTGCAGGTGAGAGCAGTTATCTGATTGATCCTCAGGTTTAAAAGGCAGCAGCAGCAGAGCGTCCTCAAAAAGACATTCATGGAGAGACACTCAGGACTGAGACGTGGGACACTTTTAAGTTGAGCTTACTCTAGTTATATTTGCACGGTGGGATTAATAAAATATGCTGAAAAGCACCATGTTTGTCTCTGGCTGTGTGGGAGACCCCGGTGGCCTGGTCGACTGCCACACATGATTATTGCAAAGTGAGTTGGGTTGGGGTTAAGTCAAGTAAAGTGAAATAAAGTAAAGTAGATGTCAGTGGATCCATCACATTCACAAAGGCCTCACTGCTGTTCCTTTCTTTTCGGACACTGTTGCCGTGGATACAACAACAAACGTCTCCATTAACCGCACGGCCACATTTTCCTGCTCACACAGCAAACAGCCGGTCAACAACAGGAGGACGGAGGCTTCTGCAGAGCTGCTTTGAGACCAGCTCTCCTTTCAACACATCCAGCAACAGAGGAGTCGCAGCCAGATGACAGAGGGTTTAGCTTTGATTTGTGGAATCTGTGGTTGTGCTGGCAGAGATGCCGATTGCATCTGGAGCTGCAGGCCGGGTGGATGTGGGAGGAGAGGAGAGTACAACATGGAGCCCAGATGGACTGAAGAGGAAGCCCAAAGCTGCAAACAAGAGCTGTGACTCTTATCTGCAAAGGTGGGTTGATCCCTGCATGTGTGTTCTGACATGTAGCTGCACTTTGAAGGATGATTGATTCACAGTGTTTGACGATGTAGAACTCTCAGTACAATACACAGGGTCTTTGTGTGGAGCTGGAATACTTCCTGTCATCACCATGTTGCTTGGTCCTGGTGCAGATGTTACTTTAACCAAGCAGCTGATACAGATGTAGGTTGATTTTAACTTTGCTAAATAAGTAATAGCTAAATGACAAAAACTTACTTAATGAAGTAGCTACATTTAAAATCAGAGCAAAGCCCTTCATGTGAGCAGAGCTGAAGGTAGAAACCATTGAGGTAAAACCACAGATGATTTGTTACAGAGCAGTTTTATTGGGTTTTATTGCTCAGAGATAAAAGCAGCTTCTCGCTGGAGTGAATCAACAGCAGCCTGTTTGTCATCTGAGCTGTGGAGAGCGAGACACAGATGTGAGGCACTAATCTGCCTCATAAATATTTCACCGTACCATTTGTTTGTCCTGGCAGGGTTAATGAAAAGGAAGAGACAGGAAGTTACATCTTTTAAAAAAAACACACACTGGCTGCTGTCCACCACACCTTACTGTGAATAAATCTCATGTAAACTTTTCATTGTTTGACGTTCGCAGATATAAGGAGCTCAACAAGAGCAAGAGAAACACAAGTAACGTGCCACAGGTTAGTAATGTCATCACAGAACTGAATGGTTTGAAAACTGCCCATTGAGGTACTGTGACTGCTGCTGATTGGATTAAGAGATATTTGTTTTTTTCTCACAGGTCACTCAGGAAAACACAGAAACGAGCAATCATGAGAATGAAGGTCAGACAATGTTTGTATTGATTGCTTGTGTCAACATTCACAGTTACAGCGAATGAAACAAGTCTGTTTCCATTTGTTTTAAGGGGACAAAGATGAGTGCTCAGTGAGAAATGGAGGCAGTGAGAGTCATGCTTCAGAGGAACCTTCCAGCGGAGAGAGATCCAAAAAGTCTCAGATGTGTGTTCTGCTCTAATGTGGACATTTAATGCACTGGGCTTTTAACACACAATGTATTATTTAATTGCCAAAACCTTTTGTCTCTTGTGTTCTCTAGAAAAAGGTGTGAGGGGTCAAATGTTAGCAAAAGCACATGCAAAACGATGTCAAGTGTTCAATTAAAATTTGGAAAACTGTTTGGACATATTGTTTTTACGTGAATACAGTAAGTGTTAATTCTTCTGAAGCACAACATTGCAAGATTTAAATACCTCAAGTCTATATTTAAATACTTAAAACACAATTTTTGCAGTATTTTATTAGTTTTGATCATGTCTTGTTATAAAGGTATGTCCAGGACTCTTAAATATAGAACCCATTCAGTTTGTAAACAATTTTATTTAAAAGAAAAAACAAGGAGCAGCCAAAGACTGACTGTGAGAATCAAGACATTCATGAATCCAGTTTGTCTTCAATCACACATTCAGAGCATTTTTTTTCTCAGCAATAATATTCAATCTCTACAGTAGAAATCTTAAACAAAGCGCTTCCCCTCTTCATCGTCAGTCTGTTCCACGTAAAGGTCGAAGGTCAATATTGCACTTGTGTTCATCTAAATCACCAAGGCTCTCCTCCTTTAACCTGTGGTTTTCACAGTGTTCATTAAGTCCACTTGGCAGAACTGCATCCCATGTTGAGTCCAGCTGGAGGAGAGACGCCTGTTTTCAGGGATTTGTCCCTCACACTGACGGGAGGCCTCAGTCACTGTTGCTGCTGCTGTCGTCTCCCACCACCATGCTGCTGTACTGCTTCTGCTGCTGCTCTTTAAACGTCTCCTTCACCTTTGCTCTCTTCAAGCCTCCGTCCCTGCAGTGGCGGACAGGTGGAGACAGGACAAACAGAGAGTGGTGCTCATCATTCAGCCACATGCAACAGACTGTACGATCAATGTCAGAGCTTCACGCTCATGCAAAAGAAAGCATCTATTTTATTTAGCCATGCCTGACACTCAAAGGATTTCATGTCTCCCTGTTGTTGTGGAAAATCTGCTGATCAATGGTCAACTCATCAATGAAGAAAGCTTTCAAGAGCCCTTGGATGTCTTATGCTGAAATATTTATTGATGAGAAAATCAGAATTCATCCATACAACATCTGTGCATGATGCTCTCTCATATTCTGAAGTCTGCTTTCCTGCAGTCACACTTTAAACCCCAACAGATCATTTAATCAATGGGTGTGCTTGTTCCTAAACAATCAAATGTATTTACTAGTTATGGAGACAGTAGTGCCTGCTTATGCAGTCTTATATCTGTGATGTCCAGGGAGTGAAGGCTTTGACCTTCGCCAAGCTCTCGCACTTCCCAAACACAACAGCCTGTTGCACTCTGCCCCAGAGAGGACAAGAGACAGTGTCTATGAAAATTCCATAACACCTGTGATGTAAAAATATCACCCTTCTGTTGGAAGACAGTGGGTCAGTTTCTCTTCTTGACTTGAAAAAAAAACCGACTACATTTTAGAGGATTTAAAAGTCAGTTTTATCTGTAAAAAAGCTTAATCTTTTTTTGAAGAAGGAAAACTGACCATACAAAAAAAGCATCTTTGAATATGACTCAGCCAAATCAAAAACAGTGAAGAGGTTGAATCTCACCATTGTAGATCTACCAGTCCTCCCCGGTGAGCGATGGCCGACTTCACTCTGTTGGCGAACTGCACAGCATCTTCCCCCTCCTTCCAAATTTGAATAAACAAACTTGGTCAGACACGTGTCTCTGTGTGTGCATATGTGTAGGGGTGGGGGCCTGTGCAGGTCGTACACGTGGCTTTAAGCGTTCATGAGCTCACGTGCTGCGGGACGTGTCATACACACCTGCTGATGCATGGCTGGCAGGTACCAGACGTTGCAGACGAGGGCCCAGCTGGTCATCATCCTCAGCAGGTAATTCACCATGCTGTACTTGGAGCTGTTCCAGAAAGCGTCTCCAAACTTCGGGTCATACTTAAAAAGACAGGGGTGCAGTGATAATGAAATATATGAGTCAGACGGACAGAGAGGAGTCAGAATGAGAAATGGGGCTTTGACTGACAGAGAGGAATAAAGTACCTTAATGGCTACTGGATATATTGTCGCTCCGATTTCAAAACTCCCTTTTTTGAACATCATGACAGATGTGTTGTTGACACAGGTTCCTGCAGAAACCAGACATCAGGGTATTAAAGGAGACAGAGTTGTGTGAGCTGGGTCCAGCCCCCACATCACATAACTGCTCATTTGTCACCGCTCAGTGGCCAGACTGAGCTGAAACAACAACGCTCACTGCGTCTTATCTTTGATGATACCAAGACAAACATCAGACTGGATAAAGTATCTCTGTCTCTCCACATGGTAACACTTACCCTCTGGAAATATTAATATGGGA